TCGCTGTTCTCCTAGCACTGGCAGTGGTGGCGCTCAGCCAATCAGCGCCGGGCGTTTGTAGTCCTGACAACAGACTGTTTCCGCGTTCTGCAAGTCTCAAGTCTTTCCCAAAACTTAAGATTACTGTTTTTCAGCTACCTCGACACCCGCGCGAGAGTAAGCGTGTGCGTGTGTGCGCACACGTGTACACACACACACACACACACACACACACACACACGCCTTTCTCTCTTCAGTGCCTTGAACATGGCCTATTCCTACAAGTTCGAGGCTCTTCTGTCAAACTCCTAGGTAAGCTCTCAGGAAGCAGCACTGCCTCCAGGAAGTCCTCAGCCCCAAGCTGACGCAGGCAGGCGAGTGGAGTAGAGGGCAAGGACGGGAGACGCATATCTCATTGTGCCGTCCCCCCTCTGGTTGCCAGGGAGTCGGGGGCCTATCGTGCACATTTCCACACCTAGGCTGGAGGAGTGGGCCACTTCGCCTTGGCTTGGAAACCAGACACCCAACCCCGCGTGTCTGAGCTCACCCCATTTCTCCAGACATCAATGCATTTGGTACAGCAGAAGAGGCATGAAACCATCAGTTTTCAAACTTTTGGCGGTAGCCTGCAGTGGGATAAATTACTGGCAAAATACTACAACATCAGAGGTGAAAGACAGACAGATAAACATAATTACAGAATAAGGAGTGAATGCTTGGTCCAGGGGTGACATCCAGGAGTAAGAGGTCTGGTAAATATAGAGGATGGGCAGGAACAGCTGCAAGGTCCTGGAAGAGATCTTTACATTGGAGCTTGACAAGGAGTTCTCCAAACCAAAAAAAAAAAGGAAGAAAAGGCATGGCAGGCCAGAGGAGCAGAGTGCACAGAGGCTTGGGGACATGGTGTCTTCAGGAAACCACTGGTGGTTTGAGTGCTGCTGGAGATGAGAGACAAGAGAAGTCAGAAGCGATAAGATCACGAAAGATCTTGTGAACCAGGAGATGGAGATGCCACTGGGGATGATGGGATTAGATTGGGAGCATTAGCAAATGCAGAACCTGAATTGGTAGACTCAGAATATTGGGAGTGGGAGGTACCTGGAAGGTGAGGAATAGGGGCCAGACTAGAGGGGACTACAGAGACATAGGGGCTGATTGGATGGGGAACATAGACAGAGCAATCAAAGATGATGCTCAAGTTGGTAGTTATAGTGACCTGGTAGATGGGAGGTACGGTTCACAGAGATAGGGAACCAACCAGGAGGACCAGATTAGGTGGGGACAGGGACCTGGAGACCAGTTTAGTCTTGGTTGAGTTTGAAATCCTTGTAAGCCATTGAAGTGAAGATGCTTTAGGAACAGCTGTATGTAGAAAGTTGGAGATACTCCAAGTCATAAATAATGGTATCTTGTCCTCAGTACATAGAGAGCTACAGAAACATAAGAGGGAAGGCAAGCCCTGACAGATGTGGCTGTTTGTTGGGTGTTGTCAAGCAAAGTGAAAGTTTGTGGGTTTGATTCCCAATCAGGGCACATGCCTGGACTGTGGGCCAGGTCCCTGGTTGGGGGCATGCAAGAGGCAAGCGATTGATGTTTCTCTCACACATCAATGTTTCTCTCCCTCTCTTCCTCCCTTCCTCCCCCTCTCTCTAAAAACAAATAGGTAAAAATCTTAAAAAAAAAAAGAGTGAGGGTGATTGTTTAGAAAAAGAGAGAGAGGGTGAACCTGGGTGTAAGCTTAAAGGGCCCCAACTTTTAAGGGGTGAGTAGGAAAAGAGGGGCCCAAGAACAAGTGGCCAGAGAAATGAAACTTAGGGAGAGATCTGAATCAGAGTCAAGGCAAAAAGAGGGATTGTAAAAAGCTGAATTGTTTTTAGCCCTGAAGGGCTGTCCCAGAAAACGAGGGATTAGATGTGTTTTTTGAGGCATCAGTGGGGAGGACTGGGACCAAAAAGTAGAAATTCCAGGGGAATGACTTCTGGTTTGATATTAGGAAGTCTTTTCTAGCAGTCAGAATTACGTGTCCCCATGTTAAGTAGGGAACTCCCTGTCATCAGAGGTATACAGAGGCAAAGTCTGCCAGAGGCATTATAGAAAGAGTTCTCTGACCTGGGCAATGGGATTAGTTAGCCTCTGAGAACTTTCTTCACCAATCCCTTGGGAACATTTTTTTTATTTTTCAGAGGGAGAGGGAGGGAGAAAGAGGAGGAGAGAAACATCAATGTGTGAGAGAAACATCCATCAGTTGCCTCTCACATGCCCCCAACCAAGGACCTGGCCCATAATCCAGGCATGTGCCCTGACCAGGAACTGAACCAGTGACCCTTCAGTTCACAGTTCAGCAGTCCATCCACTGAGCTATACCAGGCAGGACCCTTGGGAACATTTTCTTGCAGCCTCTACACACAACTACATAATGACTTCTTTTATTATAAGAGCCCACTTCACTTTCCTGTCAGTGGACCCAGGACCCCAGAGATCACTGGAATGCAAGCTCGATAGTGTGGTAGGCACACTGCCTTCCAGTGCTCGGTCAGGGTGACTCTGGGTGGGGATGTCACTTGGGCTGAGAACTATATGATGAGGACTCAGCCAGGGAGGAAACCTGGGGAAGGCCATGCTCTTCAGAGGGCACAGCAAATGCCCAAACTGAGAGCCAAGACAGAGCTAGGAGAGCTGGACAAAGAGAAAGGAAGCCAGTGCAGCTGAATCAAGTGATCGAGAGGGAGAGGAGTGAGAGGAGGGGAGAGGGAAAGGGCAGCAGGGCCCCAGCAAGGGTGGTGTTGCAGGCCACTGTTCGGAGTTGGGTGTTTATTCTGAGAGCACTGGAAAGCATTTCAGGGAAGCCATTGGAGGGTTTCAGGTAGGGGATAACTCTTCTGTGGTAGATCACGGATTTGGGGGGCTAGAAAGGGTACAAGTAGAAGTAGCGATACCAGTGAGGAGCATATTTTAAATGTGTCCTTATGGTCTACAAGGTAAAATTTAAACTCTTTAACCTGGCATTTGAGATGATGCCAACTTCATTTCCCACTAACCTCCTCCTTCACACACAATGTGCTTCCAACTCGTGAAACTGTTGAGTGACCCTGAAACCCCCAAATCCCACTGTCCCCTGTCTTGCCCATGGTCCCTCCACCCCTCGAAACCCCACTCATTCTTGAAAGCACATGTCATGCCCCCTCCTCCATGATGACCTCCTGGGTCCCTCCATCAGTGTTTCTCTCCCCACCAAAAGCACTTTGTTATTCCTTCTGTTACCCCCACCCTGTTCTGTGCCAGTGTACTGAGGTTGAGTGCCCAGGCTTGTTTGGATCTGCACCAGGCCAAGCCCTGGGCGATTCTGAGTAAAAGCTGGTACAATGAATGACTAAATTCTCAGTCATACCCAGCATCTTGTCCTCAAAGAAATGACAATTATGTTGTTGAGAAGCACTCACTTTTGTCCGCACTGATATATACTCATTATTTTATGTCTACAAAAGGAACACATGGGCATTAAGAGACTTAACAAATGTCCTGCGTGTTCATTTGTGTCAGGCTGGGCACTGGGGGCACATGGAAACTAAGACACAGTCCTTGCCATAGGGAAACTCACAGGCTGTTGGGAAGGAAAGCCTCAGAAAACATCTTTACTGAGAAAAACATGGTCAGTGCTATTCTGGGGCTAAGCATGGGGGCTGTGGGGATGGATCCAGAGGGGCCACAAGGGAGGCTGGGAAGGCTTCAGGGAATGATGATGGCTGAGCTTTGTCTGGAAGGATCGGTATAAAATAATCGAGAGAAGCAGGGAAGGGAGAAGAGCATTCCTGAAGGAAGAAACAGCATAGGTTGGGGTTTTTTTGGTGGGGTGGGGGGCACGGGCACTGAGGAACCAGAGTCAGATACAGTTTGGGTATAAAGTGAGGCAGAAGTAATAAGAGAAGGAGAAACCAGAGGCTGGGTCGGACAGGTGAAATCAGATTAGAAAGACTGAACTTTATTCTGGAAGCTAGTCTGCAGTGATGGAAGGGTTTTAGGCAGAGGAATTTTGGGTTTAGAGGAAAAATGGTGGTGACAATGCTTTTAATAATAATATTATGTCTCTCTTGAGTTTTAGAGCACTCTCATATCTGGTACGAATTTGTTCTTCATAACAGCATCGGGAGAGATCTAGAGCCGAGTTCGTATCGTTTTAGGCATGACAGAACTGGAACTCAGCAGGAATAGGGGAAAGCCTGGGAAAATGGCAAAGAGCGGAACTCGGGCCAGGCGAACCAGAGTTCATGTCCCGGCTGTGCTACTCAGCAACCGTGTGATCTTGGGCCCCTCTGGGCCATAGCGTCCTTGTCTGTAAAATGAGTATAGTCATAGAACCAACCTGTTAGGTCTGTCCATTTGTCATTCACTCATTCACCAGATTTTATTGATCTCCGACTTCGCACTGTGGAGATGCTGGGGCTCCAGAAGATCACAATCTATTGAAATGAACATCAACCAAATAGTCAAACCAAGGGTTTCAAACACAAATGGCTGCCCAAAGCAGGCACATTAATGAAAGAATTGAGCTGCATGTGAGACAACAGGGAATGGTGGGAACCATGGCAAGCTAGAGAGGGCACACCCAGCCTAAAATAACTCAAACTGGAAAATTTTAAACAATGTCAAATAAAACAGGATCCCAAGTCTCATTAAGCATGAGGGTTACCAATTTGCAGCCCTTCATTTACATACTTGTGGTAAGTGGTCTTAAGGAAAAGTACGGGTTGTGTAATATAGAGATAACATAGGAGCCCGGGAGCTGGAGAGGTACCATTCGGTCTGAGAGGAGTGAGGTGGGGATGCGTGGGGGCGGGAGCAGCATGTGCAGAACCATTAGGCAGGATGGGGCTTGGATGGTTCAGGGATTATCTGGAGAGAAGGTCAAGGCCTCTGGGGCATAGTAAGGAAAGTTGGGCAAGCAATGAGGCAGGAAAAGTTAGCAATGGAGGGGCAAGCAACTTTATTTTGAGGGCTATGAGAAGTCATGGAAAGGTTTCAAAATGGGTGGAGGGTGAGTACATAAAAAAATAATGAACAAAGCAACTCTAAAACAGACTGATTCTAAACATCTCCAAGGCTCATTAAGACAGCTATAGCATCATTGTCCTCATTTTACAGGTGAAGGAATTGGGACACAGAGAGAATTAAGAGACTTGCCCAAAATCATGCTGTCAGTAAGTGGCAGGGCCAGGACCCAGACTAGAACATTCTGGCATCAAAGCCTCCACTCCTAACAGTGCTATGCTGCCTCGGATGACCAGAGCAGATACGAATGGCATTTTTAAAAGATCATTCTGATTGCTAATAAGGAGTACTGGGGCTGGATGTAGTAAGAGTAGGATCTGAGACAATTAGGTAAGACGAAGCTCGTAAAGCCCTCGGTACCCGTAGCTGGGAGTGCCTGGTCACGAGAGGTAATTATCTTCATTATTATAGGAAGGCAGTGATAAAGCCAGGCGTGAAACCCAGGTGCTCCAGTGCCTAGCCTGGCACTAAAGCACTGCTCCTTTCTGACTCCTTTAGTCCTCTCCCTGAGAGGAGCTCACCTTCTAACACTCTTCCCCAAGGGCTCTACCAGTCTAAGACCTCAACTGATTATGAAAATGCCAGCTTCTTCAAGCCTGAACTGGCCACTGCCCATTGCTTCAAGCAGTTCAAGAGGAAAGACTTCCACCTGCCTCGAAGCCGCCGGCGGATCATCATCTTGCCTCAAAAGGAAGACCCAATCTCCATCGATCCAATGCCCCAACCCCAGGCTCTCCTACAACCCACCTGCAGCTTTAAAGCCCTGGAAGCCAGGGACACCCAAGAGCAGCCAGAGGACACAAGAACCTGGCTGAGCCAGAGACTGAAGTTTCGGCAGGAACTGGAGTCGTTTGGCAACATGGACAGGTGGCTGCGGAACAAGTCCAGCCTCACGCCTTCGGAAGCCAAGATCTTACACATGCCCCCCAAGGAGCATGAGGCCCAGGCGATGGCCCACCTGTCTATTGCCGGAGCCACCGATGTGAGCATCCCCATTTGCTAGATGAGAGTGTTACGGGCGGGATGTGGGTCATTTGCCCCATTTCACAGAGCAGCAAACAGAAATCCTTAAAGGGAGGTGGATTCGTTATCTATTACTGGATAACAAATACCCTCAGATGACTTAAAGCACCAAGTGTTCATTGTCTCACTGTTTCTGACAGTCAGGGATCTGGGAGGGGCTTAGCTCAGTGGCTCTGGCTCAGAGTCTTTTCATCTCAGGATGTTGGCCCAGGCCACAGACCTCTGAAGACTTGACCAGAGCAAGCGGAGCTGCTTTCAAGCAGCTTGTCACATGGCTATGGGAAGGACGCCTTAGTTCCTAGCCACATAGACCTCTCCACGGGGCTGCTTTTGTGTCCTCACCACATGGCAGCCAGCTTCCCCCAGAGGGAGTGGTCCAAGAGAGGACAGGAGGAGGCTGCAGTGCCTTCTACAGCCAGTCTCGGGAGGTCTCTGTTTCCGAAGCGTTACACTATCACAACCGCCATACTCTATTGGTCGTACTCTATTTGTCTATATATCACATCCGCCATACTCTGTTTGTCAGAAGCGAGTCACTAAGTATTGCATCCACCCAAGGGGAGGGGAATTAGTCTCCATCTCAGAGAGGAGGAGAGTTGAAGAATGTGTGGCTATAACTTAAAACCACCCTAGGACGGATAATGACTCTACAGTTTGCTGCCAGCCATGAATACATGTGGGTCCCAACCCCCCAGGAGCGGAGAGGAACTGTAAGCTAGGGGACAGGAATACCCTTTGTAAACTGTCAATGGCTGCGTCACAGTAAGGGAGTGTTATTTCTAAATTTCTCCCTTCTCCTGAAATTGGAGGAGTAGGATTTGGACAGATAGAAAAAGAAGGAAAGTTACACCAGGCAGAAGGCCCAGATGGAGCAAACGCTGGGAGGTGGGAGAAGTGGGGAAACCCGTGTGGCTGCAGGCGGGGGAATGTATTTTGGTGCACTCAGAGCCCAGTAGGATTAGAATACTGACTGGTCTGACAAGGGAGATGAGGAGAAGAATGAAACTTTAGTTCTCATATCGTTCAAGCCTCTCATTTCTGAGGGTAAATGGAGGCGCAGCAAAGCAAAGTCTCCCCGGAGTTCTGGGGCACAACGCGGCTGCTCTGCGGTTGCCTGACTCCAGTGTTCTTCGCACTTCATCTTGCTGTCTGTCGAGAGCTGCCCGGTCTGTCTCTCCCATTTATCTCTAACTCTGGGGATCTTGTTCCACAGGCCTGTGTCCCCTGAACTCTCCCTTCTGTCCCACTTTCTTGCCTCTTTCAGAAGAAAAACCTCCAACCTGCCCACCAAACCGTGCCCGAGCTTCAGCTGCCGAAGCCCCCCGCCCTGTCAACCTTGTACTCCTACCTGCACAGTCACAAGATCAAGATCCTGGAGGTATTTAACAAGCTGGAACGGAGCGAGACCCACAGGATCTCCAGGGAGAAGTTCATTATGGCTCTGAAGGCGGTAAGTGCCCCCCGGGCTCCCTTTGGGCTGGCCTGAGCCGGCAGGGTGCCCACACTATGGGCCCCAATAGGTGCCCCATGGTTGCCACGGTCCAGGGTCTGGACCAACTGAAAAGGGCTTGAAACTCAAACTATTAGTCTTATCCCTTGTAAAACCAGATTGGAAATTGTGGCTTAACCTGTGGCCACATGGGACCCCTAAAACCTCCCCTGCACTGGTCTGACTTTGAAAAGCCCTCTCTGAGAAGAAAGTCTACAGAGCAGCCCCCATTCCAGCCCCCATACCATCAGACCCCAGAACTGAACACTGAGATTGCTGGGCCTTCAATGCTGGACCTTTCCTCCTGCCCCTAGAATCTTCTAGAGCTCCTCCAACTGTCACTGGCATGTGAATCACATAGAGGTCTTGTGAAAAGGCAGCTCCCACAACTCAGTAACTGTGCAGCTCCCATCAATGCCCACGGTACTGGTCCATGGACGATACTTTCACTGGCTATTCAAAGAGTAAATTAATTATAAATAAATTTAATTTAAAATCCAATTTCTCTGTCACACCAGCCACATTTTGAGGTCTCAGTAGTCACATGTGGAGACCAGTCCCTCCATCGGACCATACAGATGGAGAGCACACCCATCATTTAGAAGGTTCTATTGGTCTTGGAGGGGTCTGCTAACTATGGCCCCAGAGTCAAAGCCAGCCTGTTTCCTGTTTTTGTAAATAAAGTTCTGTTGGGGCCCTGGCTGGCGTGGCTCAGTGGATTGAGTGCTGGCTTGTGTACCAAAGGGTCACTGGTTGGATTCTCTGTCAAGGCACATGCCTGGGTTCCAGGCCAGGTCCCCAACAGGGGGCACATGAGGGACAACCACACATTGATGTTTTTCTCCTTCTCTTGCTCTCTCCCTTCCCATCTCTCTAAGAAATAAATCAAAATCTTTTTAAAAATTTAAAGATTTTTAAATTCTTTGTGCCCCTTCCGTTGGGGCACAGCCACCATCATTCATCTTCAGGTTGTCAGGGCTGCTCTCATGCTTGATGGTGGAGTGGAGTAGTTGTGACAGAGACCATATGGCTCATGGGGCCTGAATATTTACTAACTGGCCCTGCATAGGAAAAGTTTGCTGACCCCTGTCTGAATGAATTAGGGGTTTTTTTTTCTTTTAAAATTATTTTTATCTTCACTGAGAACATTTTTTCATTTCTTTCTTTTTTTTAAGAGAGGAGAAGGAAATGAGAGAGGGAGAGAAACATTGATTGGTTGTTTTCTCATACACATCCTGACTGTGGTACGCACCTGGACTGGGGATCCATCCCACAGCCCGGCTGTGTGCCCAACTGGGAGTTGAACCTGCAGACTTTCAATCTAGAGATGACGTTCCAACCACACTTGCCAGGGCTGAATTAAATTTTTATATACTTCACATAAAAGACACCATATAAAATAGTTCTAGGAAGCTGACTACCACAACTATTATGGCTTTAAATCATCACCAGTTTTCACATCATCATTTTATGATGTGTACTTATCTGAACAACATTTCAAAGCATTAAAAATAACAAGATAAACTGTCTTTAATCACCATAATCAAGAAGATAAAACATTAAATCCTTTCGTACCTGGAGAGTTCTGATCTTCTTTAAAAAAAAACACAGTAACAATGACTGCTGTCTAAAGAAGCTAAGGAACAAAATTATATTTCCTTTAAAACTTTTCTTGAGCCCTGGCTGGTGTGACTCAGTGGATTGAGTGCTGGCCTGCTAACTAAAAGGTTGCTGGTTCGATTCCCAGCCAGGGCACATGCCTGGATTGTAGGCTGGGTTCCCAGTGAGGGGCACTCGAGAGGCAACCACACATCAATGTTTCTCTCCCTCTCTTTCTCCCTTCCCCTCTCTCTAAAAATAAATAAATAAAATCTTTAAAAAAATAAAACTTTTCTTGAATATTCAATATAACTGGCAAGCATTATACTCCTCAAAAGTTGCTCAGTCTTCAAAAGAGTAATAGGTACCGTGTTTCTGATCCTGTTTTCCTTCAGTGAAAGGAGGTTTACATGTCCCTCATAGGCAAGGATGATGGACATGTGAAATGCTTCTTCAAATCCTTCATGAGAAAGTTGGTGTTGAGATTGGTATGAGCCCAGAGTAAGTAGTAACAGAGTCTGCAAAGATGGTGGCGTATCTGGACTGGGTTTTGAAGGAGGGATAGGAGTTTTTCAGGCATCAAAAGGGAAACATCTGAGTAAAGGTGGAGGGTGAGAAAGTGTGGCATGTGTTCAGGGCCAGGAAGGGGCTCTGAGCTCCTGTGGCAGGGACCCTGGATGGGAGCTGGGAGTGGCTGTGGCTAAATCCAGACCGAAAGGCGGGGCTAGTCTGACCAGGCTTTGGCCGCCCTGATAGGATGTTTGGAATGGAGCCTCTCCACTTTGGGGACTTCTCTTCTCTCTTCAGATTGGAGTCCCTCTGGGACACCAGGAGATAGAGGATATTGTGATCTACCTCAGCTCTCTGGAGAAGCACAACAGCATCACTGTGGATATCCTGGCCAGCACCTACAAGCAATGGTTTTTGCCCCAGCAGAGAAGCATACTGAAAACTACAAGGGATAGTATGTATCCACCCACCCCAGTGCCTCCACTCTCCCCTCCTTAGAGCAAACGTGGTAGAGGCAGCCCTGGCTCATTTCCCGAGTGTGCTCTCCAACTTTAGCCTATGTAGGTGGGCCAAGCCTCTGCAGTTGCCAGAGCAGGAGATCAACTAAACAGTAGATATTTTCTGGAATACCAGGCTGGGTACCTTGTCCATTAAAAGCTGGATGAGGCCCAGACCTTATCCTTCAGGGGTGCTTCTCAAAGAGCAATTTCAGCCCACCAAAGCCCGCTTGATAGGCTAAGAACCTAAATGCCAAGCCTCTCTATTTGTATGTGAGTCTGAGGCCTTCTTACTGCTAATCTGCATCTTATGGATAAAAAGTTAACTAAAATTAAGAAACCAGAATTAGCACATGTTTAGAGTTTACTGGAAAGTCTACTTTGCTATTCTACCATGGCATTAGCGAGGCTGCTGTGCACAGCTCTGTAGGTTGTGCACAGCTCAGGTTCCATTTGCCAGGCCACATGCTTCTGGAGGAACATCTGTCCAGACAAAGCTCAGAGGCAAGTTAGAAATGTACTTGCCACAGCTCTGGGTATGAATTTATACCACAAGGGTACAGTGTGCTTCTTCACAGTTTAGTTGTTATAAAAAAAAAAAAACACCTGAACAACTACAAGTAAAATTAAAGCCCCCCCCCCTTTAACCACCACCCAGAATTCCTGAACCCTCTCCAAATATAACCACATCTTTCTTTTTCTAAATGAAGCAAATCTTGCTTTGCCTCCACCTGCCAGGTTGGCAGGAATTTAATTTCAGGCATATTTGGGAGGAGGAGCTCCTCACCCTCCCTCAGGTTATGTAAAAACCCTGAGGGGTTCTTTACGTCAGTGAAGATTTGGGGCAGGGCCTCTGGAGTTCCCACTCACATTGAGCTGGGTGCTCAGCGTCCCCACTGGTTGGTTCTTCTGGGGACAGCAGGCAGCTCCCTTGGACCATCCATTCCTCAGTCCCCTGGAGCTTCACTCACAGTGCAGCGCAGGCGTTTCCAACCTCCAGTCTCAACAAGCCACTGCGCAGAGGCATCCTCACTCCTAGGCAGGGTCTCTGGCCTCGCGCCCCCACAGCTGCCTCCTGGCTGTGTCACTACCCCTGCAGTTATAATCTCCTTCACCCTTCACGCCCAGCACATCCTCAGGGCCGCATTGAGTTGAGTGTGCTTGCCAATCCATGTTCTTTTGGCCTTTTCATTGTAAATGATCAAAACTCACTATTATCTGTGTAGTTGGCTGCAAGTCATTGAGTGAGTGACCACGATGCATGCCACGATACATATTTGCAGCAAAGGTATTTGGGGCCTGTTATTTCCCAATAAATAGATTTGAAGCCAAGCACAAGTATTTGCTTAAATGGTGCTGTCACCGCTGTCATAGCTGAGTTCTCTTTCCCTGGAGAGCCACAGTGAGTAAGGGAAGCAGACCTGGGAGTCTCTTGCTCTGCCTGAAGGGGAAGCAGTGTCAAGAATCTGGGTGAGGCTCACAAGAGAGAAGGCGATAGCCTTTGGGGTGCCCTCTGTAGGCCGGGTAGCTTTACCCACAGCATTAGCTCAATTTATCCTTCAAGTCCCCAGACATGAGGGCTGCTATTTATGCTTTTTAAGGAGGAAGCTGAAGCTCAAAGAGGTTGACCACCTGTCCACTGTCTCAAAACCAGAAGGTGGCAAGGCCTGAATTTCATTTGAGCCAGGGACAGTGCAGGCCTGAAACAGAGCAGGGGGCAAAGTAACGTTCTCTTCATTTGGACCTTTCTTGAGCACCTACAATGTGCCAGGCAGGCACTTCTAGGAACTAAGAACACAGCAGTGAAGAAGCCAGCATCCCTGCTTTCAATGAGTTCCCATAGAAAAAGTTAACCAAGATGATGTCCAATGCTTTGTGGACAAAGTGATTGATGCTTTGAGGACAATGAGACAGAGTCAGATGGATGGTCAGCTGAGGCCAGATCCTGCAGGGCCTCGTAGACCAGGAAGAAGATTCTGAGTTTTAGTCTAAGTGCAGTGGGAAACCAGGAGAGAGTTCTAAGCAGGGAAATGAAGTGATGTGGTTTATGTCTTTTAAATTTTTAAAATTTATTTATTTTTAGAGAAAGGGGAATGGAGGGAGTTAAGAGAGGGAGAGAAACATCGATCGATTGCCTCTTGTACACACCCTGACCAGTGTCCGAACTGAACTCGAAACCTAAGCATGTGCCCTGACTGGAAATCCAAACAGCAAGCTTTTGCTTTGGGGAACGATATTCAACCAACTGATGCGGTCCAGCCAGGACAATGTGGCCGGTGTCTTTCTAAGGTCTCGTTTCCTGTGTGGTGAAAACAGTATGCTAGAGGATGAGAATGGCAACAGGAAGGCTGAGGCCATGGCGCAGGTGAGGGAGGAGGCAGCCTGTACCAGGGAGGCCATAGTGGAGATGGAAAGAAGGGGCACCCCAAGGTGCATGGCAGACAGCACTGGTTGGATACATGGGAAATAAGCAGAGGGATGGCCTAGTGCTTGCTTGGTGACATTGGTTAACTGCTTGATGGATTCCATGGCTGAGCACCCTTTCTGTCCCTCCTCCCTTTGTCTCTTCGCTTCAACCCCAGATTATAGATCTGTCAAGGGACGGGCTTCCCCACAGCGTCCACCCAAGAATGTAGCCCCACAGCAACCCAAGATGGACCTACTGACTGTGCCTGAGGTTGACACCAAGACAGAAGCAAGGCCCTTGAGCCCGCAGGAGAAGGAGGATGTCAACATACGGTACTGGGAGAGGAAGCAGCACAGCAAGGTATCCCCATCAAAGGGGGAGGGCGTGGAGCAAACCTCCGGCACCTGCACCGCCTTCTGCCTGGGGGAACTCTTAGGAGCAGGTGCTTTACCTCTCTGTTCCCTCATCTGTATAATAAGAACAATACCTGTCTCACAAGGTTTCAGTGAAGATGAAATGAGATAATGTTTCTGAAGGTGTCAGCTTGCCCTCCTCCCACTCTTTAATTATGACTTAGTATCCAGGGGCCAGGGCTGCATCTTCATCACAGCAGGAAGCCAGGTGTGGCATGGGGCGTGGCACCGAGCAGGCACTCCAGGGACAGAAGGAAGAACTGACTGCGTGAATTAATTCATCCAATAAATATTTTTTGAGAGCCTGTAATGTATCAGGCACTCTTCTATGTGCTTCGGACAACAAAACAGCCCCTGCCCTCAAGAAGCTGTCAGTATAGAGTCTAGTCAGAGAGCAAACAATATTAATATAATACTGTTTTTAAAAATATTTTTAAAGATTTTATTTATTTACTTTTAGAGAGAGGGAAAGGAAGGGAGAGAGGGAAAGAAACATCAAAGTGTGAGAGATACTGGTATATCGATCGGATACCCTTTGTGCACCCCCTACTGGGGACCTGGACAGCAACCCAGGCATGTGCCCTGACTGGGAATCGAAGCAGCAACCTTTTGGTTTGCAGGCGGTCGCTCAATGTACTGAGCCACACTATATATATAGTGTTAGGTATTGGTAAGTGCTATACCACTTAAAATCTGATTTAGTTGCATGACAAGGAAAAACAGAATATTAGAGCAGTGAATGGCAAACTTTTCCAGTAAAGGGCTAGATAATAAATGTTTTAGGCTTTGTGGGCCCTATATCCTCTGTCACAACTGGTCTGCTCTGCCATTGGAGCACAAGAGCAACCACAGATAACATCTAAAGAAATGAGTACAGCTTGTGTTTCAAGAAAACTTTATTTATAAAAACAGATGGTGGGGCAGATTTCACCTATAGGCTGTACTTCACTGACTCTGTTTTTCTTTCTTTGCAAATGAATAAATGAGAAGGCCAAAAGTGGCTACCCAGTTCCCAGGCCTCTTCTACCTCACTCTTGCTCTCCTTAACACGTGGCTTCCACCTCAAAGTCACAGATGATGGCTGTACCTAATCTAAATTCCCATGCAGCCAAACACTTGAATGTAATATGTCAATAGGACGCATGTGGCACGTTCACATGGTACCCCACTGTACATATTATACAATCATGTGTGCACATCTGTATACGGGGCTGTGCACACAGAACCACACATGCTGACCATTCAAGCATTCTTCAAGGGTAACCTTGACCATATGTGACTTTTATCCTGAGTCACTGACTTCAGAACCCAAATTTGGGTCCCACCGCACATTCTTTGCCCCGGGCCTTGTGGGGAAAGGTAGATTGACAGCCTTCAGGCCAGGAGAAAAATGGCAGGGTGAAAGGAAATGGGTGCCAACTGCTGTTCTCTTTGCAGTTCACGATCCCCTGCATCCAGTACATGGAGTGGTGCCATCGGGTGCGCAGTGGGAATAAGCGTTTTGACGACCACTGCCTCCCATCCACCATCTGCGGGGAGATGAGCGAGCTCATCAACCTGTCCCGCAGGGACACCTTCCTGGTCTACCTGCAGTGCCAGAAGCTCTGTGAGTCCTATGGCCTCCCGCTGTCAGAGGACATCCTCATAAAAGGTAAAGACCTTGGTGGCTGGTCCCGGAAAGATGCCTCAGATGTGCACCTGAGGTTTGTCCCTCTCCAGCTGACATGCACCCAGCCAAGCCACTGGCTGTGGTAGAGACATTGAGAAGAAGGGGGGAAAGAACAGTCAAGCCTATTTTGCTGTTAGACGGGAGTTTTAGAATCCTGTAGGTCCATGAATTCCACAGGTGTGGGGTTCCCCAACTGAGCTTGGCATTCGGGAGCAGGGAGCTCCAAAGACGGGAGTTCTAGGCAAGGGAGCCCTGAAGTTGAGCATAAATAAACATTCCCAATTTCAAAGAGGGAGAGCTGATAGATGTCACAACTGCTATGCTGTATCGGGCTTTTCCAAAACCTCCTCTTCAGGCCAGGCCAGTTTTCTGGTTCTTCTGCAACACTGAGGTGGAAATGCACCAGGAGCCAGCCTCTGCTGAGGCTCTTTGCTCTCCTCTCAGACTATAGGACTTGACGCTGAGATTTCCATGCTGGTTCCACACTCCGCTTGGGGAAAGAACTGTGTTTTCATACATCCAAACAGACCTGAACCCTCCACGTCTCTGGGCAGAGTGTGTGCTTCTGAGAGGTGGGGGCAGGAAGTGCCCCATATTTCCCTGATGACCACGGAACAATGCTGGCCTCTCAAATAGATAAATTTATAAATTTAATGGGCCGGTTCCTCTCTGTGCTTAAAAAAACATGAACTGCAAGCTCCATGAGGGCAGCGATTTTCCTGTAGGAACTTTTCAGAAGAGCTGTGGCCATAGTAGGAAATGAAGTTTTCTAGAAAAGGGCACACAGAGAGTGGTGTGACTTACCCAAGAATAAGAGCTAACAGTCACAACTGATTATTTCCATATTTTTCCTGAGAGGGAGGGAAACATGTGCTAAATGTATAAGTCCTAGGGTCTTATATTAGTTTGCTAGAGCAGTTATAACAAAATACCTCAGACTGGGTGGCTTAAACAACAGAAAATTTATTTCTTCACAGTTCTAGAGGCCAGAAGTCCAATACCGAGGTGCCAGAAGGATTGGTTTCCTCTGAGGCCTCAATCCTGGGTTTGCTAACGCCGCCTCTTCACATGGCCTTTTCCCTGTGCACACATATCCTGGTATCTCTCTGTTTGTCTAAACTTCCTTTATAAGGAGAGTAGTCAGACTGAATTCGAGTCCACCCTAACAGCCTCATTTTAAGCTTCAGTACCTCTTGAAAGGGCCTATCTCCAAATACAAATTCTGAGGTTCTGGGGGTTAGGGCTTCAACATATGAGTTTAGAGGGGACACAATTTAGCCCATAACAGGTCTATCCAGGAGGATGTGGCCAAGGACCTTCAGGAACAAACCAACCTAAAGGGTCATTGTCTCCTGCATAGGCTACATGCCCTTGTATAGTGGCTACTTGCTGCCTTCCTGGGCTGGAAGGGCAGAGACCCAAGATCCTGCAGCTCTGGGTACTGACTTTTCACCAAATCATCTAACCCTCCCTCTTCCTCAGGGGGCCTCATTTTCCCTAATTCTTTACATCCCCTCATCTTGGTTAATAGAGGAGCTTCAGCCGTTTTCTGAAATGTAGGCAGGCTTGCCTTACACCCTGGACTACTCTTGTGGGTCAGGTCTTTCTTCCGGATGTGGATTCTTTGTCCCTGCCAGAACATAAAACCACTACGGATTCTATCCACTGTTGGGTTTTACCAGCTCCCAAGTCTCTGAGCTTCCTCTGTTGCCAGGATTCACATTCATGGGCACGCTGAAGCATCCACAGCTGGGCTTCCTTTTGTCCCTGCTTGGTCTACATGCAAAAGACTCCAGTCCATCTCTGACTAGAGCTGCTTCGGCCTGTAGTGGGGACATTGTGAAGAAGGAGAAAGAGGAGAGGAAGAATAGCCAGCGAGATTTGCTGTTAGATGGGATTTCTAGTGCACAAGTTCCGCTGTCCTGGCCACTGTCTGTTGGCTGTCTTCATGACAGAGGCCTGCTCTGCTATAGACAAAGAAGCCCAAGCATCAGGACTTCCAAGTGTGTGTTCTGGACTAGAAATTGGTGAGCTCAGACTCCAGGTCTCAAGCTCATGGGTGAGAATTCTAGAACATTGAGGTATTTTTCCTCCCCTCAGTGAATGTAGCTTCATTGTTTTTGTCCCCCTTACTTTATAAATAATACTCACTCACTTAAATATTTTTGAAAACATAAAAATAAAAACCCCCTCCAGCTGAGTTGACTGCCATTCATATTTTAATGACTGTCCTTACATAAACCTATTTTTCTTTTCTATGTACACAAAATTATTTGTGTAAATCATTTTTAAAAATCATGTATATTCAGGATCTGGCACAAATAACACCCCTTCCTTTACAAAATCTTTTATTATAAAATCATAATCATATAATTCTGTAGCATAACAATATCACACTCAAGCACACCTTATAGCATTTTAGATGAAATGTTCAAATTAAAATTATAAATCATTACACCCGTATTGTTACCCTACTAACCACACTCAGGCAGGCCTTCTGCCAGACCTTGTATATTTTTATTTTTATTTTTATTTGTTTAAGGGTTTTATTTATTTAGGGGGGGGGAGGGAAGAGAAACACTGGTGTGTAATCCTCTCATATGCCCCCAACTGGGAATTGAACTGGTGACCTTCAGTTCACAGGGTGGCACTCAATCCACAGAGCCATACCAGCCAGAGCAAAAACAAAAACAAAAGTACAAAACAAAACAAAACACCGAAAGCTTTAAAATGTTGATGCTGCCTGCATATCCTCTTCCCTTTCTCCTTTCTCATCTGCATGATCCCTGCCTGCCCTTCCCATAAATAACCAATATTAATTACCAGGAGCATAACCTTCCACCAATTCTCCCAGAACACGAGCTCTCCTGGTGTTACCCTCTTAGGACAAGCACCGCTTCATAGCTGCAGGGAGATGGAGAGAAACCCTGGCCCTGTGTTTTTGATGTACTGTACTTAGAAAAGCTTATCTGCGAGACTAATTCTAAGCAAGGGGAAAACTGCCATCAACTACAAGTTACCCTAGTGAAGTCTTGGAGGACTCCTCCTCCCTCCTCCTGGACAGGACATCCCCCTGGACAGTGGGGTGTGGGGCCTCAAGTTCCATCCTAATTGTACCCCAGCCCCGGGGGCTTTGCCAACCTGGTTATAAACAAGCTCCCTCGTCTGTAGTGCAGTTAGCAGTCTTGTACCAACTCCATTTCCCGATCTCGCACTACAGCTACAGGCAGACCTTGGCAATCCTGTGCGTTCAGTCCCAGACCAGCATAATAAAGCAGGTACCCCCACAAAGCGGGTCGTAATATTTTTACTGGTGGATGGTTTTGCTTTCCATGTGTAAAAAAATGTACCACCCATGAAGCATAACAAAGCCAAGTGCAATGAAATGAGCTATGTCCATATATGCCACATCACAGTTGGGGGAGGCTGGGGAAGGGTCTAAGGGGCCCCTGTACCATTTTTACAATTTACTTTGAATCTACAATCATTTAAAAATTAAAAGTTAAAAAATGTACTGAGAAAAATCTTTTTAAACAAAAATGTGACCTTATTATTATTTTTAAAGCCCACTTCTGCCCTTTGCTTTGAAGCTGCAGGGTGGAGGGGTCTCAGGCTGCTAGGCCATGTGTCTCTTGTTGCTCACAGCCCTGCTGTATCCGGGGGACAAGATCATTTTCCAGAAGGACCGGGTGCGCCCAATCCGGCAGCCAGGAGGCTACTACTCAGACTTCAAGGTCTTCAGCCCGACTCAAGCCCTGCTCAGGTCCCTGGGATTCGAAGAGTCCATGGCGAAGAGGACGGACAAGCTGAGTGTCAGACCCCCTTCCCCTTTCCCTTTGCCCTCCTGCCCTGCTGCTGTGCCTCAGCTACAGAAGCTAGGATGCTGACACAAGGGGTTGTCATGTTGTACCAGCGCCTCTGTCCTAACCCGGCATGTCCAACCGAGTCACCACGGCCAGACTAGTCCCCAGTGTCACCCCTGACATATGTCTGATCCACAGCCTCCTTGCCTCGCTCCCACACAGCTATCTCCTGAACACATCCTACATGATCCCAAGCTCTCTGGAAAAGATTAAAAAGATGGCCTTCCTAGAGAATTAGGAGGCCCCTTCACCAGTTATGGGCCCGGTGTCAGGGGTGCTGCTGAGGGTGGTTGGGGGGCAGCCCCTTCCCTTGCCCCACCTTCTCTAGCAAAAAGGAGGCTACCAGCCCCTGGGAGGAGAAAAGAACTGCACTGGGTACTACCTCAGGTCAACTCGAGTCCTCTCTGAGAAAATGTCCTTTTTGACTCGGTACACTGCGCTATCCCTCTTGAGAGCATACTCATATCTGTCTTCCCTCTCAGGAGTGCATCTCCTAAATTCTGTGTCCCCAGAGGTTTGCACCCAGGGAACAATGGGCTATGACAGCTTGTCCTGTGCTAATCCCCTGAATCTGTCCACCAGACCCCCTTTTCTCTGACTTTCCAGTGAGCCAAAGCAACCCCACCTAGGCTCTCTTTTGATGCTTCTTCTACTCTAAGCCTTTCCGTGTTTTGTTGTCCCCAGCTTTAATAAACATACTCTCAAAATTTAAAAAAAAAAAAAGGAAAGAAGGGGAAAGGAAAGGAAGGGAAGAAAGGAAGAAAGAGAAAGAAAATAAATGTTCTTCTTTGGAAGGGGGTGAAACGTGGGTAGCTGATGAGCCAGCATCCACGAGTGACAGCAGATTGGAGACCGAGTAGCATCCTGCAGAGGGCTAGGGCCAGCATGGGAGAAGGAGGGGACAGCTGACTGGATGGGGGAGGGGCTCAGGACATGGCCATACTCTGGATTCTTGCCAGCTGCTCACTGGGGTGGTATGCTGTGGCCAGAAGGGGGTGGGTAGGATGTAGCAAAACAGAGTGGAAATCAGACAAACTGTAAATCAAGTGGACAAGTTACTTCACACTCTGAGCATCAGCATCTTTGTCTATAAAATGGGCATAATAGCTCCTAACATACACAATGAGAACAAGAGAAAAAATTGCATGTAAACTTCGTAGCATGGTGTTTGGCAGATAGTTGGCACTCGAGCAATGACTGTTGTTGTCGTCAGGGCATTCTCGAGTGCAGGAGTGGCCCAGGCCTGCAGGTGAAGCCTGTCTGTAGCTCTTGTTGGGAAGAACTGAGCATGAGCCAGGCAGGTGGTAATGGCCTAGAGGGTCGTTTCTGATCCTTTAGTGACTGCCTTCCGACTTGAGTGGCTGGTACCAATTCCTGAACTGTGAACCTAGGAAGTGTGTGGAAACAGAAAGGGACTCTTATCCATGCTTATGTAGGCCACAGCTATAAAGGATGAAGAGAGGTCATCTAGGGCAGGGGTGGACATTGATTTCATGTTGCTACTTAAACTGTGTCATGTAAGATTCTGAGACTGAATGCAGGCTTGCTGGGAAGGAGTGCCGTTGTTGATATCTGCCAGGCCCAACGTTCGGAGAGTTAATTTTAACCATCCTTATCTCCAAGGTTGGATTCAGTCCTTTCAGGGAAAATGGAAGCCAAGAGCCCAGAAATGATCCAGATTATTGAACATCTCTCATAACTAATCTCCATTTTGGGAAATTAAAAACCCAAGGCTCTGAAAGGGGAAGTGACTCGCCAGGAATCACCCAGCCAGCTAGATTATGAGCCCAGGTCTGGCTGATCCAAGCCCACTGTATGTTCCACTGGAGCGTGAGAGGACAGAGTCAGGGCCTCGCCCCAGACAGAAAAATTTCTCCTTTCAAAGCTCTGCTTTGGACTTAGAGATGGGCATATCCCTGAGACTCTGAACCTGGATTTCCCCTCTCCTAACAAGATACCTCTCTCTCTTATCCACTAGGAAACCACAAAGGAAAATCAAGAAAATACACTTTAAGGAGTTTGAGGAATTCGCTAGGTCTGTAGCAAATCATTTAACTCTGGGAGTTAGGTGGGAGGAGGTCTAGCCTCACTTTGGGGAGGTGCCTTGGACTCTGCATGTTTCATGGTGCCCTTAGCACAGCATCTGGGGCTCAGTGCCCAGGAGCTGAGAGGCAGGAGAACAACTTAGAGTGCCAGGCAGACTCTGACCTGGGTGCTTTCCATGTATTAACTTTAAAACCCTCTCAACAATCCTATGAAGCTACTGTTAACAAACCTAATTTACAGAAAAGTTTATTTCTTATTAAAGTCATGCATCTGTTCAAATGGTGGAGCAGGGATTTAATCCAGCTATGCAGGCTCCAAAGACTACTCTGAATACCATATTAAAATGCTTCTTCTAGAGAACAGACCGTGTACTCTTAAAAGAGTTTGGGTTTTACAGGCAGCTGATGAGAAGTCAAGCCTGCATCCTGCCACTTGGTCACTGCGTAGCCTTGGGGAACTTGAAGGTAGACAGGGTAACAGAGCCTACCACGTTGGAAGTGCAGAGAAAAACTGAGATACTAAGCACTTAGCACAATGCTACACCTCCTCAATAGTCATGGTTGTTTTGCTCTACTGAAGAGCTCTGGCCCTGGCCTGTCCACCATGACAATCTTCCCTGTGTCTTCTCATTTTCCAGGAAGCTGAAGGTGAAGGGGCCTCATGGTCCACAGCGAACCCATCCAAATTTCTTCTGGCCAGGTCACCTCCTGGACAAGTTGCAGCTCTACCTGCCCACCGTGACTGCGGACCGGAGCCTGGCACTGTTCAGTTGTATCCAACAGAAGCCTCATGTCTACTCTGCTGCCTGCTGCTCCAACCACTGGTGGCCCATTAAGAACATGAACTACATGACCTGTGGCTATTACGATGCCCCCAAGGTCTACCACCTCAACTAGAATGCCCAGGTGTTATCAGACCCAGTCATCCTGGGGCTGGGGCCCAGTGCAGCCAGCAGCCCAAATCCATAGACACCGGGAGTGTCAAAGAACCAGACAAAAGAAATAATTTCTCTGTAGAGCAAAAGTATCCAGGGCCTCAGAGGCATATGTGTCCAGGGAAAGAAGTGCAGCTTTTGAGTATTTCCTGCCATTTTGAAATAAATGAGGTTGGAGTTTTTCTCATGTTACTGGTGACCCAGCTGATAGGATTTCTTGTTCAGAAGCTGTGGCCAGAGGGGTGTTTGGAAAAGCTGGGGTACCTGGGGTGATGCAGCAGGCACATTCCCTGGGATATTGACGGATGCTTGCTTGCATGGTACCTCTGGCCTCTCATCCTGGGATCTCAGTGTCTATGGGAAAGCAGCAGACAGTGTAGGGAGCCCTGTGCCCTCCTCTGAGAAACACCGTGTTTCTTGTCCCTCCCAAAATCAAACCATTGGATTACTACCTCCAAATCTCTTGGGTCTTTTGTAATTGCAAGCATGCTCTCCGGTCTATGAGCTCTTTGCCTGATTAACTCATCTGATCTCCATCAAGACCTTTTCCTTCATGACGCACATCACGTAGGCAGCTATTAACACAGTGCTCCTTGGCTCCACATCCCCTTGACTTCCCACGGACCATGGGGTAAGCAGGATCCATGAGGTGTGGTGCAGTCACAGATGTGACAGGGGTTGTCTCTACTGTTTGCCAGTTGTGTGACCTGGGAAAGCACACTTGACTTCACATTTCATGTTTCACTTCTCTGGGTTTCCTCAAACTCCCCTTTCCTTCACAGTCAAAATCTCGTGAAGGAGTTGTCAACACTTGCTCTTCTCTCTTCTCACTTCTCTGAAGTTAAGAACACATCCAGTTTAGCTTCTGTTTCCATCTGGCCCCTGGAATTACTCCTGTCAAGATCACTAATGACATCTTTATTGTGGAATCATGGGGCTTTTTTTTTCCCCTTGTGAAAGCTGATTTTCCCACTAATCTTAAAAAGCCGGGGGGGGGGGGGGGGGCGGAGAACAACAATGAAAAACTTGGCAGTTTCACCTAATGGGTTACAAGCGTGGATTTTTTAAGTCAAACCTCCAAACCTCACTTCTTACATATGTAAAATGGGGAAAATAATAGACCTACTTCGTAGAATTGTGAGAAGGCTAGTAAATCCAATTGAATTATAGCTATTATACCTAGTCTCATGGCTATTTACAAATTCACGTGAGGAATTATAAGGAAGTCTCTGTTTTGTTTCCTCCTGGCCACTACGAGGCGTACTTTGGCACTGAAGAAACCGAAGCGAAAATTATCTAAAAGCTGGAGGCGAGGAGCGGCTTCAACTTCTGGCGGAAGCGGGTGCTCCGACCAGGTCTTAGAAGGTGAGAAAGACTTCCAAATACATTTATGTATTCTCAAGAGAAGGTAGGAAAATTTTCAAGACTAATCCTGGATATTAATGTCTACGAAAAGAAAAGTAACCCTAGACTTTTTCCAGTATTATTTCTCTGACGATTCTTTATTTTTTAAGGATCAAGAACCGGAAGTGCCCGCCTTTTTCCTGCCAGGATCCAGAGGTCAAGTGGCACACACGTCGCGCGTCCGCTTCCTCTCTCTTCCTCGGCGCTGCCTACGGAGGTAGCAGCCATCTCTTACTTGGTGAGTTTTAATCATTGATCATCTGTGTCTGTGCGGTCTCCACTAAGCCTCATCGCCCCCTAGTGAGGAGGTCTGTCCTTCCAAGCAGTCGTGTCGTTGGGTATTGTCTTTGTCGCCTTGCTGGAGCCCGTATAGGTACAGAACAAGGTGATCTGGCTGGTAATGGAGGTTCGCTTATTAGGGCCGCTAGCGCTCCTACGGAGGCCGCCTGGGGTCAGCCGAAGCTGCGGGCAGTTCATTTGAACCCTAGAGGCGCATGGTGCCCTTCGGTCCCAAACTACCGGGACTTCTCGGGGCGTGGAGTGATCCGGGGGTTGTGGCCTCACCGGCCGGGGCTCAAATCATTGGATTATTTCGATTAGCGATATCTGCCCACGTGGTATAGAGATAAAAACCTGTTCTTGTTGCTCGACGCTCCCCTCAACTTTCTGGCCCTGGTTACTGCAGTGGCGGGAATGCCCCTTCCCCGTCCCCCCAGAAAACCGGTTCGGTTACCAGAAATTCTGATAGAGGATTAGGATCTCTGGGAGTTTGAAACTGTATTCCTGTCATTGAGGAAATCATGGCGCAGGGGGTTCGGGGGTGAGTGTATGCCATTCATGGAGTACCTACTGTGCTAAACAAGGAAGTTGAAGGCTATGAAGAGAGCAAAGGGTGTAAAGAGGGCTATTGAGGACACCTTGAGGAAGGTAACTTTTGAGCTCATCTACAGGTGTAGAAAGGTATGTTCAAAAGCCCAGAGGCATTTTAGAGGTACATCTAGATGCACACCTAGAGGTTTCTCTTTACTAAACGTTTGCTTTGGTCTGGGCATTACAAGCATTCAATGTGCAAGAGCATCTCCATTTTGACAGGTGGGAAAAGGAACTCCATGTAGTTTGTCAAAGTCCTGCATAACTACAAGGAAACTGGGCCACATGGGGGGTTCAGACACTTGGTGAAGTAGGATTTGCTGCCCCTTTGCAGGCCAAGAACCGTTGAAGGCCAGTTTGTGTTAAGTCAGCTATTGGCATTCTTTTTTGCTTGTGAGTAAGTGAGGTGACTTCTAACCTCCCAGGATCGCGTCTGGAGAATGGCTATATTCTTCCAGCTTCGGAGATGGGAGGGAAAACAAGCCTGGCAGAGGTACCCATTCCATTCCCCGCTTGCTCCGTAGCTGGTGATTGGAAGACACTCTGCAACAGTGCTAAAGTCCTGGGTGAGGAATGCCTCCTTCTGGCACTTTTTTGTTTCACAGTATCTGTTTCTTTTGAAGGCACCATGGCGGCCCTCAGACCCCTCGTGAAACCCAAGATTGTCAAAAAGAGGACCAAGAAGTTCATTCGGCACCAGTCAGATCGTTATGTTAAAATTAAGGTACATGGTCCTGGGGTGGAAATGGAAGTGTGTGTTGGGATGAAGAAAAGGGTTCCTGAATTGGCTGCTCGATTTCTGAAATCTCCTAGAGGAGTACCTTGAACACACCAACCAGCCAGTCTGGTTGGTGGAAAAGAGCTCACCTATCATATAGAAACCCAGGCACTTACTGGCACTCAGCCTCTTGATGTGTAAATTGAAACTTAACAAGGCACACTTGGACTTGGCTGTTCTGAGTATCTAGAGGCTTACGTTTGTATCATATTTCAGGTAGCCTTATGATGCTTTGAGAGGTAAATTATCCTTGTTTTATAGATGAGAAAACCTGAGTCTTGAGTATCGACATCCATGCTCTTCATCTTACCATGTGCACAATCCCCTTGTGTTCCATTGGTGTGCGGTCTGCTTTTCCTTTCCTTAGGAGTGGTTATGTGTCTGTGTTCCTGGTGTGCAAATACAGGAGCCTATTTTTCTTCAAAAAAATAAGTAGTGAAATCCTGTTACCCAAAGACAACTACTGTTTGTCATGTTTGCTTTTCATTTGGTCCCTGTTTTTTCCTCCAGAAGGAAGAGTTGGCAGTCTGCAGAGACACTAACCCACCCGTGTGTTTTCTTTCAGCGGAACTGGCGGAAACCCAGAGGCATTGACAATAGGGTTCGCAGAAGATTCAAGGGCCAGATATTGATGCCCAACATTGGTTATGGGAGCAACAAGAAAACAAAGCACATGCTGCCCAGTGGTTTTCGAAAGTTCCTGGTCCATAACGTCAAGGAGCTTGAAGTGCTGCTGATGTGCAACAAGTGAGTTGGATCCTCTCTGGGGGTTCCAATATCAGAAGTGTGGATCTCTGAGCATTTCTGGGAGGGACTCCAGACCTTTCAGAATGCATTTGGAGACATTGTATATTCTCTCAGGAGCTTAGTGAATGCTTGTTGGGGACTTCAAGATGGGGGCAGGAGCTATGATTTGCCCTAAAAAGTTGTAGAGAACCAAGATCTGGAAAGAAAAGGACTTTTGGCAGTCATTTCCAGAACACTGCTTTATGTGAGCGATAGCCTCAGACCTAAAGAGCACTTAAACTGGCTACATGCTTCTTCAGAATGCTACAGTAATCGAGGGGCTGCTGTCTGATTTAGAGCTCAGTGCGATCAGGGGTGGGGGAAAGAAGGCAGGCTGTAGACAGAGGGTACTTAGACAAAGTTGTATAGGCACAAGAGTGCATGGAGGGATTACAGTATTGCTTTCATTGTTTTAAGGAAGTCAGACACTTGGTGCTCTGTGTGAGACTTTTTGGTTGGCTTAGGCCAAAACAAGGACAGTGGTTGAGAAAAGATGGCTGGTGTCAAGTGATGTAGACACAACTGATTGCATCTGTGTGTACACGTTCACAAACGTCTTTAAGCTATAGCAATTGAAGACACAGTAATAAAAATGAAACCACTTTTGTTTGAGTTTCTAGGTTGGAGATTTAATCAGGCATCGAAATGCTGGAGATTTTCTGTAGAAAGGATGAGCACAGGGATTAGTAATCGTAGATGCCCAAACAGCACTGAGTAGGTTGATAGAGGATTATGACAGAACAGTGCAGCCTTCCACACGTGGTGTAGCAAAAACGACTGTGGTGCAAATGCAGCGTCGAGGGTCCATAACTTGTAATCCAAAAGTTCCATTTCTGGGCATTTGTCTTTAAATAATTAAAAAGAAGCCCTGGCTGGTATAGCTTGGTGGATTGAGTGCAGGCCTGTGAACCAAAATCTTTAAAAACTAAATTAAAAAATGGGGAAGCTTTATAGCCCGATCATTGCAAGAGTAACTGAACAATTGTGAATATAGTTGGTGGGTGGTAGGAGTGCAGCGCTGAATGGAATGCTATACATTTAAAAACTGTCATGTATGGAAACTGCCCAGGCAGCAGGGAAAGTATTTAAAATATGTACAGTGTAGCTGTGATTGTTAAATAGAA